AGGGGTTTCCCTCGTTGAGATCCCCCAACATAGAGGCTCCGTGTGCCCCCCCCCCCCCCCCCCAACCACGTCCTGCTGGGAGCATGTGTCTGGCTGGCGAAAGGCCCGGTCTGGAAGTGGGGGCGGCAGAAGCGGGTGCTGGGGGTGTGGTGGGGGTCACCAGTGTGTGCTATGGACTAGGGACGTTGGCTCTTGAGTCCTCAACACCCCTCCTGGCTTCCTCCTGACTGGCAATGAGAAGCTGCTTTTTGACAGGTCTGTTATGGGCTGTTTGGGATCTTCTGGTCTCATAAATCTTTACCAAAAGAGTCCTGCCATTATCCGTCTCTGGGTGTTTTATGGCTCCAGCTCTGTTCTTCATCTTCATGTCACCTTCTCTTTAGCTGTGTTCTTTGTCATCTTCGGTTTGTTCTTCATCTCCCCGCTGTCTGGCCGTTTGATGAAACCAGGCACACGTCTCTGTGCCAATTTAAGCCAATTCCTTTAACCCTTCCTCCGCTGGTCCTCTGCATCCATGTACAGACTTTTCTGGCCATATGGGTGTTACTGTTTCTTACAAATCTGTCTGGCAGCTGATTTGGCGAATTCAGCCCTTCCTCCCTGAGATGCCAGTGGGGACATCTCTGGGCAGCTCCTCGCCTTGGCCCAGGGCGCTGTCCCCCTTCCCGAGCCATGAGGGATCCTACCTGCTCAGTAGCAGCGTAGGAATGGGCTTATAATTCCCACTGCCATGCAGGAGGCAAGCGCTGCCCTGCCCCGATCCCAGCGGCACGAGAGAGATGGGGTTGAGATTTTCTTCGGGCATTTCATCCTGGGCCAAGCGTGTCCTTTAGTTTGTTTGGAAAAGAGGAGAAAGAAAGAAGGTAGGTTTTTTCCTCTCTGTTTTGCTACCAGATATAAAGCCCTCTGTGGGGTTTTCTCTGGGTTGGGAGGAACAGAGCCCCTCTGTGCCTGGACAGGAGGACGAGGGAAAAAGCTTAGCGCCGTGCCAACTTCTTCACCGAGTTTGGGCAGCGTAAAGGCTTACAGCAGCCCTGCCGACTTACAGGTTCAGGATACGGTAACAGACACCAGACCAGCAGCTTTAGGGATAAACAATTTATCTCTAAATAACAGTACAGTAATAAATACAGATCAGTAGTGCAATTATCCAGGTCATAATGACAGCAAATCCAGTAATTCACTAATACGGGGCTAGACTTAATATCCGGGAGTGCAAAGACTTACACGACCGTGGCTATCGGGCAGGCAGGAAGCAGAGCATGGCTTCTTCTCCGGATGAGTGACTTGGACTGGCCGACCAGGCTTGGGGGAATCCCAGATTCCCTGATGGGACCGTTCTTTTTAATTGTTGCGTCGCGGAAGCACCGTTTGGGCTTGTTAACCCATTGTCACGTCGCTCCTCTGTTCCCTTTCTGTGCTGGTTCTGCCCTTGGCACGCACGGGGCCTGGAAATAACGCGTGAGGCAATGCTAGCCTTGCATTTCATCCCTTGTTTGGTGAGGGAAAGGGTGGTCATCTTGTCGTGGCGGCGTAAGGCCAAGACCAATGTCGATGCCTCCCACCCTGGGGTGTCAGGCATGGAGGGGAGTTTGGTCACGGAGTGATGAAGGGTCACGTTGAGTCAATACAGCGGTGCGTCGCGAAACCATCAGAACGGTGCGGGCCGAAAACCCAGCACAAATATATGAAGAGTTGATTAAAAGAAGTAAGAAGCTGCTCAAAATAAGGATAACAACTGAGGGATGAAGTAATATACCCGTAGCGGGGGGGGAGACCACCCTAAAAGGGATTCCCACCAGCCACATTTGACTGCTTTTTT